CACATCAGAAACATCAAATTTAATTTCCGATAGAGACTGAGAAGATAAAGGAAGTTGAAAATTATTCATGGTAAGTGAAGAGAGTTGTGAAAAACTAGTTTGAAAGAAAGTAGATAATAACTCGGCTTTAGAAGAATCATCACTGGCTGTAGACGAATTATATTGCATAGAAGATGGTAAGTCTGCAACAGGATCGCGATACTTTTTTATGACTGACCAAAACCTTTTACTATTTCAAAAGTCTTTAAGAATACTTTTAAATAAATGTTTTTTGTCGTTACGAATTGAACTGATAGTGAGATTCCGAAATTTTTTATATATATCAAACAAACGAGATGGGTGTTGTTTTGATTTTGATTTTCTAAAAGCAGCATTTCTTTTCCGTAGAAGATAACGAGTACGCTGAGAAAAACGGAGAGTTCTTACTTTGACAATAGGAATATTTTTGATAGGAACACACTGCTGAACGACTGCAATAAAATGATGTTGCCACAAGGCAAGTGCTTGATTAGGATCGTTGCTTAAATAAAAAACTGGATCTATAGAGTATAATTTCGATGCAAACAAACACATATCTATATTTTCATAGTCATACACTTGACGAAGAGCGCAGTTAGATTTTACTTCGTATGGGAAAGAACAAGACAAAATATAATGGGGAGACTTGCCTAAAGAAGGAAAGATGGACGTACTGGGACGAAGAAGACTAGAAGAGAAGAATATATTATCAATAAACGTATTTTTTATTGTAGTTGGTATAGAGAAAGCATTAGTGAGGTCAAATACATCTATTAAAGAACGTAATCCTACTGATGCTATCGGTCTAACTGTACGAACGTTAAAATCAGCTGACAAGATAATAGAAAAATCTTTTTTTACATGAGAAAGAAGAAAATTTTGTAAAGTTTCAAAGAATGAAGTTGGACGCCTTGGACGACGGTATAAATTACACAAGTAAAACGTGTGATTGTTGATTATAATAGAGAGAAGAAGTGATTCAGTGTCTGTAGAAGAAAGAATGAAATTATGACAAATGTCACTTTTTATATATACACAAACACCACCACGCGTGCGAAGATTATCACAGCGATAAAGAAAATAGTTTGGAATTGAAATTTCACTGTCTGAAATAACTGAAGATAAAAAAGTTTCCTGTAAACAAACAGCAATAGGCTTATGGTAATTTATGAACTGTTCAAGTACGTCAAAGTTCTTAGTTAGGCTCTGAATATTATGAGAAATTATCAAAAACTTAGAGCTGATAGGTACAAAAATAGGCGCAAGAGGATTCAAAATCGACAAAGTATAAAACATAGGAGTTGAAATGACTTGCGAAGAAGAAGAAGAACTACTATCTATTTGACAGACTTGGGGAGAAGCACAACTATTTCGTAGAGGAAAGTTAAATGAGTTCGAAATAGGAGCACAATGGTCGGACTGATCGTTGTTTAAAGCTACAAGAGAAGAAGGAGAGAAAAAAGTGTTTTGTAATGTAGCCATTGTACTGTCCGACAACAAGCAGTCAAATAGAGCTTCACTGTTAAATGCAATTCTTCAAATAAACGTCAATAGCTTCAGTTAGCTTACGTGTGCCAAGATCGTTCAAATGGATACCATCACGAGCTAACATATTTCGAGTAAACTTACAATTAATAATGTCAATATCAGATAAAGATAACAGCCGCTGGTTAAAATCATCAATCTCATTGTTTAATTGGTCTTGCAAAGATGGTTTTAAGTTAGGATCAAACTGAGGTGGTATTGTAACAAATGTAGGTTTTATATGTTGATGTTTACGTTTCAATGTTTGAATAAGTTGATTAAGAAGCTCTATGGCTTTGTCAGAATTAATGTGTTTCATGTCAATTGAACCGATGGAAATTATAGCGTGTGATGAAAGATTAAAATGTTGATCAATCCAATTATTATTAACCATATGTGTTAATTGTTTAATTGAGGCGCCATGTTTTGTACGAATTTTTATATCAAAATGTTTATCGCCTACAAATAGTTTACCTGGTTCCAAATCGCGAACGATACTCGAACCAGTAATAGTAATAGGGACAGATGGATTTGATTTTGATTGTTCATGGTTAGATGATTGTAATATGGAACTTGATTGCATTAATTTAGCAGTAACGGATGGTTTCTGAAAAGTTTGTTGTTCAGATTGAACTTCTAAGGATGAGTGTAGCTTTTCAATTGTAGCCGATAATTTGTCTATTAAATTGGTGGAGACGAGCTGCTGTTGAGACGAAATAGATAACTGGTCAAGTAACTGTTGATTCATCTTCATAAGACCAGCTTGTAAATCGTAAGTTTGACGCAAATCTGCACACCGTTCATTCAATAATTTGATATCATGATTTAAATGTACAATCGTTTCATCTGTTGACATCATTTTAGATTTAAACCGTCGTAATAATTCAACTAATTGACCTTGTGAAAGGTCACCACATGATTTTTTAGAACTATCATTTAAAGAGGAGAGATAAATGTTAAACACTTCGTTAAATGAATTAGTCATTATTTGTAATACGAACAGAAAGGGAAGAATATAGGTCCGATCGTGATGAACAGAAAAAGAATATGAACAGAAAAAGAATACTCACGCGTAGCGCATGTGCTTCCCGTATAACCGGATGTACACGTGCATACGCTGGGAGCTGTACATGTTTGGCGATTGAGCGACCGCGCAATGCTCAGAATAAGTTCGCCCAATTGGATTTTTAAAAGGCTAGAGTTCGCCCAATGACTTTGTGGCAAAGCCGATTTCGACTAGTAGTTTTCTCCAAAATCAATAGCTTAAGATGTCAAATAACTCTATGCGACAATGCAACTGATAAAATTGTTTTCTGTTTTCTATTTCGGCTGTCACTATAATATTTGTATATGAAAGAATACCGTTCGAATCGCCGGCGTAACGAACATTAGACGTTGATTACGTAATAAATGGGCATGAAAGATGTCCGTCAAACGGATAGAACGAATGATACACATTGTAGGTGCATGCAGTTTCCATTAGCTATCGACAAGTGAACGCAGAAATTGCTTTTCAAAAACCGCACTGTACATCGTATATGCTCGAAAAACTATCGAAAATTCTAAAATGTTCGATTTCGAGTATTTTGAACTCTAGTACTTCCTAATTTCAAGAACTAAGGTGGATTACTGAGCTGCAGTCGTCCCAGCATGTATAGATAA